GTTACAGGGGTAATAAGACACTCAGGAGCCGGGTTACTGTAATATGATGTTACAGGGGTAATAAGACACTCAGGAGCCGGGTTACTGTAATAGGATGTTACAGGGGTAATAAGACACTCGGGAGCCGGGGACACTGTAATATGATGTTACAGGGGTAATAAGACACTCAGGAGCCAGGTTACTGTAATAAGATGTTACAGAGGTAATAGGACACTCAGGAGCCGGGTTACTGTAATACAATGTTACAGGGGTAATAAGACACTCTGGAGCCGGGTTACAGTAACACGATGTTACAGGGGTAATAAGACACTCAGGAGCCGGGTTACTGTAATATGATGTTATAGGGGGTAATAAGACACTCAGAAGCCGGGTTACTGTAAAATGATGTTACAGGGGTAATAAGACACTCAGAAGCCGGGTTACTGTAATATGATGTTACAGGGGTAATAAGACACTCAGGAGCCGGGTTACTGTAATATGATGTTACAGGGGTAATAAGACACTCAGGAGCCGGGTTACTGTAATATGATGTTACAGGGGTAATAAGACACTCAGGAGCCGGGTTACTGTAATATGATGTTACAGGGGTAATAAGACACTCAGGAGCCGGGTTACTGTAATATGATGTTACAGGGGTAATAAGACACTCAGGAGCCGGGTTACTGTAATATGATGTTTTTGGGGGTAATAAGACACTCAGGAGCCGGGTTACTGGAATAATATGTTACAGGGGTAATAAGACACTCAGGAGCCGGGTTACTGTAATATGATGTTTTTGGGGGTAATAAGACACTCAGGAGCCGGGTTACTGTAATAATATGTTACAGGGGTAATAAGACACTCAGGAGCCGGGTTACTGTAATAAGATGTTACAGGGGTAATAAGACACTCAGGAGCCGGGTTACTGTAATATGATGTTTTTGGGGGTAATAAGACACTCAGGAGCCGGGTTACTGTAATAATATGTTACAGGGGTAATAAGACACTCAGGAGCCGGGTTACTGTAATAAGATGTTACAGGGGTAATAAGACACTCAGGAGCCGGGTTACTGTAATATGATGTTACAGGTGTAATAAGACACTCAGGAGCCGGGTTACTGTAATAAGATGTTACATTGGTCCTTGGATTGGGAAATGTTCTCCCCTGTGTATAGTTTTGGGGAGTTCCTCTTTCTTTGTCTTCTATAATAAGGATTCTGGTGAATGGTTCTTTTAGGTCCCGTGTGGATCTGTTCCGGGATCTCAGTGACTGTATGGATGCATTGAACCTGTTTCTGAACAATCGGTTTAGTGAGAGTCTGGACCTCCTGCGGCCAAGGTGAGAGGCGATTGGTGTATTGTA